CCCTTAACCCTAAACCCTTAAAGCCCTAAACCCTTAAAGCCCTAAACCCCAAACCCCAAACCCCAAACCCCAAACCCTAAACCCTAAACCCTAAACCCTAAACCCCAAACCCTAAACCCTATAACCCCATACCCTAAGCCCTATAACCCCCTAAGCCCTTCTAAAGGAGCACCGAACCCGAATGTCGAGGCCTAGAGCAGCACAGCAGCGTAGCCCTGGATGTGACAAAGGCGAGGGAGGGGGGACGGCTTTGGAAACGCCGCTGGAGGGTTTAGGGTTTAGGGTTTAGGGTTTAGGGTTTAGGGTTTAGGGCTGGGGGGCGTTGGTGTTTTGTGGGATTGATTTGGTCCTGGGGTTTTATGTTGTCTTGCTGCTAGGTTGTTTTGGATGTTCACTAGGTTTTCGACACGGGGTTGTATGGCTTAGGATTTCGGCTTTGAGGTTTTAAGCTTCCGGGGAAAGCGGCGTTGTGGCTTTTTCTAGCCGCACAGACTCCAATATCATTCCGTTACAAGAGCATGACCTAAACTATAGTATAGGGATATCTTCATGGTTTCGGTAATATTCGATGCCATGCGTGATTTTGGTTTTCTCCGGGTCTTTATGAAGCACTGCATTTCTTTTGACTCCTGTACATTGTAGATCCCTAACAGAGCTATAGACCCTGCCTGGACCCTAGAAAACATACATGTCTACGGCTACAGTTTATGCTGAAAAGTTGGAAACTCAACAGCCTAATTCCAGCAATTCTTGAGAGAGAGCAAAATCCAGATTTCCCATTTTGCAAATTTCCATGAGCTTGGTTGAGAAAAGCAATTGGTGGTGCCAACAACCCAGCATTTGCCCGCCAGTACCCGGGGCTGGAGTTTGACCTTTCCGGCCAAGCCAGCCTGAAGACCACACTCCTGGTCTCCTTGGTGTCAGATGTCTATGCGCTCAAGTCCCTGCCCGGTCATCGCGGGGGGCAGGAGATGGCAGACTTGCGTTTCGCAGGCCGCGTTGATGACCTGGAGGCCTCCATGTCCCATGTGCGGGGCAGCATGGAGGCGTTGCTGCAACTGGACTTGCTGCCCGACTTGGGTTTGCAAGCGGCTGCTCAGCAGTTGGACAGCGACCAGATCTCCCAGGATCTCCAGCATAATGCATGCGGCATGCAGCGCGCACACACACACACGTACATTCAGGACGTCGTCTACTCCTGCGAGCAACAGCAATCGTGTCGTAGTTTTACCCTAGCGTGTCCTCATAACAAATTCGTCAATCTCGAATGCTTCCTCATGTGCGGTTATGTCTTCGAAGAAAAGAGCCACTTGTCCGACACGCGAACACTGGTGTAGGACGCGCGACACAAAAGCTGGTACGGCGAGCAGCAGCACTCCGGCGAAAACATGTGAATCGTAATTTTAGCGTTTTTGTACAAACGAGTGATTCGGAAATTGATCATTTTTGGCGCAGTTCGCACTATGCGCTTGTGATCGCGGAAAGCCAATCGCTTTGCAGTCCGCACGTGCAGGATTAGGACGCACATGCACGAGGGGAAGTACTGTGAGCAGCAACGCTTCAGCAGGGACAGTAAAATGAACATCGCAGTTTTGTAGTTGCGCATTATTAGGAAACTCATCAGCTTTGAACACTTCGTCATGCCCTGTCCGGTTGGCAATTGGAGAGGTGGATGGAGCGTTCGGGAGGCAACTGCATGAAAACAGGCCAGCTCGGACAAGTAACGCTGAGCATTGGTCCCTCACACACGCCCACGCACATGCCCACAGACAGGCCCACCACGCCCACACACGCCCACACACACGCCCAAAGACACACCCACACACACACACACACACAAGCCCACACAGACGCCCACACACGCCCACACAGACGCCCACACACGCCCACACACATGCCCACACACACGCCCACACATGCCCACACGCCCACACACCCACACGCGCACACGCGCACACGCGCAGGCGCGCACACGCACATGCACACTAATAGGTGCAGGCATGCACATAGGTAAGTGCTGGGTTGTTTGACGCTCGGTACATCGGTTTTGTTTTCGTTTGCCGTATTGAAATTGACGAAAGCAGCATCGTACTGCAAAGCAAATCAACTGCTAGGAATGTCGTGTAAAGAAACCATGCCATGTTCGGATTTGGGTTAGGTTAGGGCTGACAACAGGAACTTTGGCGAAAAACACCACGATCGTGCAGTCCCGGTAGCGCATCGGAATGTCGCGTTGGGAGAACATGGCGTGCACTCTGGGTATGGGGCAGGGCAGCATGCGCGAACAGTGCGCAACGCTTGGGCCTCCTGGCCTCCAGCGCGCAGAAGCCGGAACTTGCAAGATTTCGAGTTCAGGGCTTAGGGTTTAGGGTTAAGGGTTTAGGGTTTAGGGGTTTAGGGGTTTAGGGCCGGAGCTAAACTTGGAAACCTGCTCCTCAGCGCCCTTTGACTCATATGAGGTTTCCCAGGCGTCCGCGTTGACCATCCTTGAATTGGATCT